CCGTTGTTTCTTTTTTTTTTTTTAAATTTAAAAATAAAAACTATTCTGTATTTCTATCTAAACATACTTGAACAACAGCCGTTAACTTGATTTGAGAAGGCCAATCTTCATTCAACAGCAGACTTGTTTTTTTTAAATGGCATCGTCCTACTTAAATTGAGCTGCCTTAGTGTCTATGGCCAGGGTTTCTTTTAGGCATCTCTTTGACGAGGGAAGGGGTTGGGGGGGGGGGGGGGGTGGGGTAGGAGAAGAACGTTCGTCTACCACCCAACCCCAGCCCCCCCTCCAGTGTTTGTTCCAGACTTTTTTCTCCGGGTGGCACGATATTTACGGTGGGGGGGGGGGGGGGACAATATTTTCCGGGGGTGCAGTAAAAGTATATGTTTTCTAAATAAATTTCAATTCGTTCGTGAGGGGGGGGGGGGGGGAATGCCTGGAAGAAACTCTGCACCCCTCACTTGTTTAATTTTGGAATTTTCTCTCCCAGAAATGTTGCTGTCCCCAACTATCTAGCTTCCTCTGCCCGGGGTTTGAACTCGGTTTAGCAGCGTTGAGTTTTGTCGACCCTATCCCTTTCTAAATTCTAAATATGGCAAGATTCAGACATCTTTAATACAAAACACGACCACTGTCGACGGACTCAGAGCAACCGTCAAGAAAATACTGAGCCTTTAATTACTGGCATAACACTCGGATCGAATAGCATAGATGGCGGGGATTTCTCAGGAATATCCCCACACCCCCACACCCCCATCCCACACCCCCACACCCCATTCCTTGGTGGCTCCCAGTGGCAGTAATGTAATTAACAGCTAAATAACGATTTGTAGAGGGAAGAGAGCTAATACATTTTCTATTTCTGTAAGTGAAACCAGACTAAATAAGACTACTATCTGTCGTTTTTTTTTCGTTAATAATTTTTTAATTAATTTCTAACCTATTTTAAAATATTAGTTAATTTTGTCACTAAATTGAGCAAGATATTTCACAAACACCCAATGTTTTACTCAAGGAATAAGTTTTTTTTTTTATTTAATTTTTTTTTTGTTGTAAATTGTCTGTGAATTTAAAAACTTAAATTATAAATATTTTCTTTTTGCTTGTTTAATTTTCTACTTTTAGGTGACTCACTTTTAATTAATAAGGGGTCATGCATAAATGACGTCACGCTTTTTTGGACGATTTTTGCCTCCCCCCCCCTCCCCTCCGTCACACGTCGTCACAAAAAGCCAGACCCCCTCCCCCCTAAAATTACGTCACACCTCAGCCTACAACCCCCCTCAAAATTGCTGTTTAATTTTTCTTAAAACATTGATATGTGTCCAAAATCTTGTCAGAACTCTGTCAACATAGAGCATTTTGATAAATTCCTATTACAATTTATCAAAACCGTTTTCTAAAACGCGAAATAACGTCTAAAATTCGTTTTCTAATATTGCTTTTTTTATAATGCAAAAGTGTGGCGTCGCACCATCTGAACTCCCCCCTTCCGCTCATCACACACTGTCACAAAATTACGGACCCCCCCCCCCCCCTACGAGTGTGATGTCATTTATGGACGACCCCTAAAGACATCACGTACGACTAACAATATTTGCTTTACAATACAGTAGCTTACAAGACAATTACCTGCCCCTGCATTACCTCCGTGGTCGTTTTCATTCTCTATAGTAACAAAAATTTGATCGAGTGTTCGTTTGAAATTAACATATGTTGTTATCTCCCCTTTTATTATTGCTTGGTTTAATCTTTTGATTAAATTATAATGACTAATTGAATATCTAATTAGATTTTTTTTAAATTATATTCTTACATCATTATCAAAAACGATTATGTGCCAGAAAAGTTTTGACGAAATCTCTGTATTAGAAATGAGTCAAAATTGAACTACAATATTCGCCACAAACAAACAAACAAACAAACAGACATTGTAAACTAACTAAAAAGATATAATGAGTAAATTTAGACTCCCTAAAACGCTGGGCCACGGGGCTACCTAAGCCGCCACTACGTCCATATGGCTCACCGATAAGAATCTGTTTTCACACATTAGAGGTTTTTAAAAATGAACATCAACATTAACAGTTCCTTATCAGTACGACAACAAGATTATTGACGCATTGGACTGAGGAGAATCCACATGAACATCTGTTCACAAATCCAATGGTGTACGTTGCTACTGGTAGAGTGGAGTCTAAGAGCTAAAGCCCATTAAGATGAGGATTAATATTAAGTAGAGCCTTTGATGTAAATAAGTATTTTGTGTGCATTGTATACCTATAACATTGTGGTGACTTTAAAACATTTTTTAAAGTATCCACTGTAATATGGAATTTTTTATACTGCCTGACAAAACTCACCTACCAAATGGTATTTATGACATTTTGTTACTAGATGCTTAGCCTTTGTTATTCCTTCTTGCGGTTACAGTAATTTAAAAATATATTCTTAATTTGAAATACGAATTGAATTGATTTCATAATCGTGTAAATATGTGAAAATTTAACAAATAATCAACACATAACACTTGGAAAACTATAATTATTTTTAAAATGCCAACATATGTCAAGGGAGTTAAACCAATCAAAACACTGACCATTTGATCTACAGTGCTACATTCCCTTTAAATTCAACAAAAGCATTTTTTGTCTAATTTTTTTTTAATTTTTAAAATTTTAATTTTATTTTTTGGCAAAAAATCGATTTTAACAAACTCGACGGGACAGTTTACACCTCCTTGAGTGTCGTAAAAGTTCAGTTGCAATTTTGTCTGTATGTCTGTAACTGTCTGTGAATACGATAAGTTGAGTACCGTTCTAGTCGTGTTGACCAAATATCATAAAATACCAATGACTTAATAAGTGGTAGCTAGATCTAGATCTATATTAATTTGTAGTTCTGTATCAACTATTGAGAGGTTTCTGGTAACCGGCAGTGGTCCTTACTGAACACTACACACTAAACAGGGAAGTAGTACGACAAAATTAGTTTACCCTGTTTTAACTGTACCCCCCTCCCTCCAAAGGCACATTTCCCCCCTCCAACACACCAAACTTTTTTTAGAAATATTATTCAGTATAAAATTCTACACAAATATAAGAGACATAACTGTATTAGTCATTAGACAATCGCAATGCTTCTCACTAGGAAATATGTAACTTGAATTCTTGTTTGGCAAATGTACGAATTCTTTTGGCTTTTTCTGTACATTTTTATGTGGTAAGTCTGCTATATCTTTAGCCTAATACTTTTTATTAAAAACAAATCTCATCTGCTTCTGTATTGCAGTTTTTATTTTGGTAAGCAATGTAGATCTAGTATTAATTCAAGAATACTTTTAATTTTAAACTATAACCAAAAGCGAACTATCGATTTGTTTATTTGTACATTTAGAATGGTCTTAATCTGTATTTGCAAATTATCGTTAATTGAATTGACTGAGTGATTCACTGTCACCAGTCTGAGCAGGACCCAACTACAAATTCGCGGATGTCTCACTTTTCACTCACTAGTGGTCACTGACTCTCTCCCAGCTAACACTACCCACTTCACTACTTACCACCTAGCTTACACATTATTACACAGTAATATGAATATTAAATAGATTTGTGATTTCTTAAATGCTGTGAGTCTAGTGTGTTTGTGTCAAGTGAGGTTAAAAAAAAGGTCAAAAACCTTTTATTTTAATCAAAAGAATCATCTCTAGAGTAGATATCTAATATCTAGATTCTAGATCTAGATCTCTAGATCTATTCTAGTAGATCTAGTAGTAATCTCTAGATTTGGGTTTAATAATTTTATTGTATATAATGTAAGATCTAGAGTCTACATATGTCCAAGTCTGGAAAAAATCATAAAATGCTCACTGAAAATTTAAGTCAGGAGAGAGACGCTTTTTTTATTTAGGGCCTAGAATAGAATTTTTTAATTTTGATTAGGACTTAGGATCTATTTCCTGGGCGGCTTGGACACCACTGTCTAGTATTCGCTAACCAGTAGTAGTGAGTAGATCTACTATACCCTGAGATTATTGATAGTACTAGTACTATAGAACTCTGGAGACTCTAGACTTGCTACATTGTAGTACTATGTCCAGTTAGTTATTTCTAGATCTAAGAGTAGACTAACATTTGCATAGATCGGTAATCTATCGTTTTAGGTACGTAAAATCGCCGCGGCTAGTAATGTACGAAAACGTTACCTCATTGTCAAGGCTTTAATAGAAGTTTATTGTGATATATTTGTGTCAAATATTAAAGATACATATGAATAATAAACCTAAATCAATGGCTAAATATATCGATATAGGCCAGAAATTAACTTTAAACAGCAGTGTCTGATAGCAAAATTTGCTATATAAACAGCAGCCATTTGTAAAATAGAGTGGCTTCCCCCTGAATCTGGCGCTATAAGCTTATAAAAATAAAACTTAGACAAGATGGCTGCTATAGTAAATGGTTGCATCTGTTGGAAACATCGCTAGTCTTCATTTATTACGGAAAAGTTTTAATTCAATTGTTTAAAAACAGGTACATAAATAAAACAAGGAAACATTTTTGTATTTTAAAAAACATAAATCCTCCTCAAAATGTGAAATAATTATTAAAGTTTAAGGAGTCACCTGTTTTTCACATTACAAGTCGCGGGCGATTTTACGTACCCAAAACGATAGATTACCCATAGATCTTGTACTAGATCTACTGGACCAATTTGTAAAAGTAGTTTTAAAATAAGCCTTTAAGCAAATATTTAGACCTAGAATCTACTAGTGTAGTTTTTTTTTTGTCAATCCTATTATGATGACCTATTAGTTAGATTTAGAAATGAATTGTATAATGTAATAATTCCTTGGACCAAAATCTTCTAAGACCTGGGTACTAATAGATTATGAATTACAGTTTTTAGGTCTACCAATTTAAATTATAATTTGCCATAAAATGGGACTACCAAACTTTTTCTTAAGCTTAGTAGGATATAGGCAGAAAATAATAAAATTGTGTACAATCCTTGCAAATAGTTTAAATTTACCACTGCAGGGTCATAGATTGTTCTAACACAATTCTCTCTTCTGTTTTTACCTGCCTGAGTTTGAAGAATTAGATAATTATTGGTAAGCATAAATTATCATTTACTGTGAATAGAATGTCTTGTCAGTGTTTTCTTTATTAAAAGGCTGCTGTGTTTAACCATTTATGCATGAGTCACACTTTATACTTGCTGTAGTACAATAGGCTATACATTATTAGACCTAATTTAGTTTCATCTCATTAACATTCACTGTATTTACTTGCTGTTTTTTCACTAATAAACTTGTAAACTTTTTGTTACATTTAAAAAAAAGACTGATAGATTTATCAACGAAATCACAAGGCTATCCTGTCATTACTTTCAATAAATCATTGCTTTAATATTTGCTTATAAAAAGTACACCAGCAACTAATTATTTGGCTCATATTGTCTGGCAAAATTAGGAAATTAAAAAAATATATTATAAAATGTTGAAAAAACAAGTTACTTTTATACTAGTTATGACAACAACAAAAACTTTGATTTTTCATTGTTTTTGTATTTTTCTAATCACACCACAACTGCATTTTATTTTTACATTGTATGTATAATAGGTCATCATAATATCAAATCCAAAACTTCTTTTTGTTTGGTCATTTATGTCAAAAAAATATTTATTGTAGATCTTTACAGTTAATAATTTTAATTTAAATTGTTATTTTTTTTCTAAATTAACTTTATGAAATTTTATTAAATGCATCATGCCTTTTGTGTGTGATTGTCCAGATTGGCTAGTTCAAAATGTATTAAAACAGGTAGTGCCAGAGTTTAAAACCTTTTTTTTACTATCGTAGTAGAAGGTGGTAAAAAGAAACTAAAAAATATACACCTTTTTTAAGATTTTAATAGATTTTATTTCTCTTAATGTTGTGACTTATTAATGTTTTTTCCACTAACTAAACCAATTAAAATTTTTCTTAATATATATGTCTTTTTTTTTTTTTCTATTTACAATAGTAGTCATGCTAAGCATTTGTATCATGTCTCATTGTTGCGTGTACTGTTACGCTAGTAAATGTTTTAGGCACCAGCAAAGCACCATTGTATTTGATCATTTTTGTACAATATATTTTTAAAAAGGATAGTTTTATTGGTAATTCACCTGTTCAAAGTGATTATGAGTTTTAAATGTGTATATGTTAATGTATAATTCATACATAATCAACCTACTAATCATACATATTAGTTACTGGTAGTTTTTTTTACATATACATTACATTTTCACTTCCTCAGTGTTTGATGTGGCATGATTTGTGTTACTTAATTCAATTTTTAAATTAGTAGACATTCTACCATTCTAGCCTACAATTACAAATTAATTCAATTAGTATGATATTGGTAATAATCTCTATTTAGTAAATCAAATTAACATACTTGACATGAAACAAGTTAATATTGTTATAAAATGCGTGCATTTGTAACACATGCGCTATCTTAATTTTACATTCAATGCAATAGTAAAATAACTATTTTAAAACATACCTCACCTTTAAAATAAATAATTATGTTGTTATTTATTTTAATATTTTAACATGTCAACATGTAGGCAACCTAACATTTAGGCTACTGTTTTTTTTTTGTTACAGATGACCAGTTATTAGTGTGAACAGCTGCTTGTACATCTCTGCACATCAAATTCTTCTGGATTTGTTTAATCCCTGTTTTTATCTCTAACTACATATTCACTGCACATAAAAAATATTAATTTTAATAAATTTACCCCCTTCCACCATTTGCTCCAATAAATCAAAATCTCCCATATTACTTATTCTAAACTCAATCACTGTAATTGTAACATCAACATGCTATTGGAATACAAACTCACTTGTTGCCTATGATGACATTTGGAACTATTTGTAACCATTGTCACTGATAACCCAATGTTGACCAATGAATTTAAACAATGATGGATCATTCTTCAGAAACAGACGCCTTATTGGTAGATTTTATGGATCCAAGGCAACCTGCATACAGGTAATATTTCAACAAAATTAAAATAGTTGTAGCAAAGCTTTAAAAAAAAATAATGTAAAGTACAAAGATAAGTTGTACTACACTTACAAAGTTTTTACAAACCAATAAATAGAAAAAATGTAGATTACAAAACTATATTTTAAAATGTATTATTAAACTATGTATTGACGTATTTATTAAAAATAAATTACATTTAGGCGTAATTACATTATTTTTAGAAAAATCTTTATAAATCTGTAGTATGCAGTTTAAAAAAAAAAAATTTGTATTCTAATAAATTAAATTATATAAACAAATTTATGTGAAATATCTCTGACATTTTGTTTGTGTCACTACATGACTTTGTATAAAATGACTAGCATGACTTCTAAGAAACTTGTTTGCTACCTTTATAAATGAAATTTTAAATTACATCCATATATAAATGCTGCATAGTCCACCTTTTATATAACACTCGTTGTCCTCATTTAGAAAAACAAATGCTCCTCTATCACTAACTAATAATAAGCTTTTTTAGCATAGAAATTAACATCATACCCTTCACCTCTTGTTTTTTTTTATAAACTTGCTCAAAGGAGATGATCCTTTATCTGAAAATCAAAGACTTCTGGTTTGTCACAAAAAGCTAAAATTATTTAATAAACTATAAGTAAATTTTTGCGTATATTAATTAGTCTGACACGATTTTATGTAATGTTGTCAGACCCTCTGGACATGACTTTTAAGAGGGCAGATGAAGTATAGTTAGTCGTTGATGAGTACCTGACTCAAGTTAAGGGAAGTATATGTAGCTCGGCATAGAGCTAAAGGCAAAAGGATTTTTTTTATGAGGTAAGGTGGTAAAAAGATGTGAATGTTTCTGTGTAGGGAAATGTATTTTTGCCTTTCTCCTTTTTCAGCAGAACCCTTGGATTGTCTCGCTACAATGACCGGGGTCATTTAACGCAAATGACGGATGACGACAGTTTACTGGACATGGCGATGGATGGCCGGGACATCCATGGACGGCACTATGACATTGATGGCTTCAGGGAGAGCTACAACAATGGGAGGGACGACGAACCAAGCCAGATACAAGGTGCGTTGTCAAACACTTTTTTAAAAACAACCAAGCCAGATACAAGGTGCGTTGTCAAACACTTTTTTAAAAACAACCAAGTCAGATACAAGGTGAGTTGTCAAACACATTTTTAAAAACAACCAAGTCAGATACAAGGTGAGTTGTCAAACACATTTTTAAAAACAAGTCCGCCTCTACAATTTGGACACTTAATTGAGAAAGACTGTGTTTAGGTTTAATTTAATGGTTACGGTTAAGCTTAGCTTAATAGCTAATTCCAACATGTCTTTTTATTTTTTAAATCTAATCTAACTGCATGATAATTGATAATCCTACCTAACACTTTAGTTTATTTTTACATCATTTCATGCTAGTTTTGACTTGTACCATGTAAAATTACCAAAATTATTCAATCATAGTTAACACTTAAGATTCATTGTGTTGTTACCTTTTGCAATTATTAAAAAAAAAAACTTGAAATTTTAACATATAAAGTATATTTCTGTCATTAGTTAGCAGTCATTTGTTAGTAAAGTACACAATGATAACTGCTTTTTCTTCTTCTTTTTATTAATTGTATCTTACAAACAGATGGATAATTTGCCAGTATGTGTTAACATTCTTTGCTTGCCTATTCTATTACCTCTCATATATTTGACTATGCAGTATATATGCATATCATAACTATACTTTATTAAAGGCAGACCATGCATGGGGAAAGCAATATATGGCTAAAATTTCTTAACGACTATATTATGAGAATCTCTGATAAATATTCAAATTCACAGGTTGAGTTAATTGACAAATAAGCTAGAATTATAATAAAATTAAATTGTTTTTGTTAATTAGTTCTTCTAATGCATTGTGTTTTTTGAAACAATAATTGCCAACTCTTTCCTGATTTAACCAGAGCATTTTACTAGTTTTGTTGTATGAGAACTTGTTTAATATTAATTAATACATTCATTGAAAAAAAAAATTAACCTAAAAACTTGCCATACTTTAAGATCCCATTTTTCTTAATTTTAAATAAATTAATCTTGAGGGTTTTAATATCTCTACCCAATTTAGTAACTAAGAAACTTTAATTCCAGCCATCATATGACTCTCTTTACACAAACAGAAATTACTTCATACCTATTTTTTTAAAATAAAAATAAAAGGTTTTATTGCTCTTTCTTGTATAGAGTATGACAAAAAAGTTGCTTAGACTTACTATGGTTATAAGTTAAAATAAAATACATGTACTTTGGTACTATAGTATCAATACATATCACACCTGCCAGGAAGCTATGTCTATTGAATGTTATAAATGTTATGCCAGGATTTTTTTTTATTGATTTAGATTTGAGTTTTTTATTTCTAATAATTCTTCCATGCTAAGCAGCATAGGTTCTACATATTTAATTATTGTTAAACATTTTTTAAAAAGAGTATTTGTTTTATAAATGTAACAAATCTAATTTTTTCCCCACAAGGTGAGCGGCCTTAGACAGGTAAGATAAAATGGAACACACAGTGCCTTGTTTAGCAACTCTCTCCTCCACTTACACCCCTCCCCCCACACATCACCAGACTGTAGGCAGGAACAAAGATCCACCTTTATATATCTTGTTATCTTTTCCTGTCCAAATTCAGAACTATTTTGAAAGTAAAATAAACCGGGAGTGATCTCCCCTAAACTTTCTCGAATATTCTTATATAAAACAACAGGGGATGGGAACTCGGGCTATAAACATGATTTGTAATCCATTTTAAATACTTAAAGTTTTAAAAATAGAATAAAATCTCGTAGACAAAACAATTGCACACCAAGTGAACGCCACATAAAAAAGTGCATTATAGTGCGCACTATTATTAGTACTTTAAAAATTTACATTAGTTTTTTGAGAAATCGGAAGTAGCGTAAATTACTACTTCCAGTCAACGGAAATTACTCAAAATTTAACAGAAGGTAGAAAATTAGATCTTTTACTTACATGTGAAATTTCATTTATCTATCTGAAATAGTACTCAAGTTATAGGCTTTTGAAAAATACAAAGTAGAAAAAATACCACTTCCGGTTATCGGAAATCGCTCAAAAGTTGATACGGATCTACGATTTTGATAAAATACTTATATATGAAATTTCATCATCCTAGCTGTAACGGTACTCAAAGTTATCGTGTTTACACACGGACAGACAGACAGACAGACACACAGACATACGGACAGAATAGCAAAGCCCAGTTTTTCAGACTGGATTACGCATAAAACCTCTTAATTTTGATAAATTTGGATTGATAATTTTTGCCCGATTAAAATAAGTCCTCTATACTTCGAATGTGATGAAGGACTGAGGTGTAATACGGTGAAAATTGTTAAAATTTCAAATGATTTTTGTGCACGATTACAATACTTTCTCTATACTTCGTATATACGAGAAAGTAAAAAGAAACAAAAACATGTTGATTGTTTTTTACTATAATGTTGTTATTTATACAAATGTTTGATTTGTTTAGCTTATATTAAAAGCTTTGTGTGATAATTCTAGGAGCCAGTAACATCATGGACACACTGGATGACCTCCCGCCCGGCATCGGTCAGTATGATGACTTTCACACCATTGACTGGCTTAGAGACATCGCCAGGGACCGGATGCGGCACCGGCACATAGTCAAGAAAAGGCACGAGGGATGCTGGGAGAAGATCAAGGGCGCCCATGATGCCTGGTCAGGCTGGGTCTGTGTCCTACTTGTGGGCGTGGCGGCAGGTTGGTCTGTTAAAATTACTTTAAGTTTACTGCATTAATGCTGTAGTCTTTCCAGTTTTTAAGATAAGTAAAAAAGTTCAATGCACCATTAGATTACCATTATGAGTTGGCCCATTAGAGCTGGGTGGATGTAAAGAAGTGCTATAGGATTCAGCCTAAAGAAAATTTGAAGCATAAAGAAGCAACTATTTGCTCTCAACTGTTCTATAATACTTTATAAATATTTATATTATAAATAGTTTTAGTAAATTAATCTATTTACTTAAAAAGTTATGAGGGAATGGATTATATGTGCAGTAACAAAAATAACATTTTGTCAAAAATAAAACAGGTTTTTAGTTCTAGATGTATACCCATGTAGTTTGTAAAAAAAAAAAGTATAAAATGAAATGTGTAATGTTTCTAGTACAAAGGTCAAATTCTTGTTTTTGTGTCAAGTAGATTAAGGATGAACATTAGAATCAATAGTCAAAATTAGTCATGCCAATTAAATTAGATCACTTTAAGTGTTTAAAAAAGTTTTAAGTCCTGTTCTATTAGCAGTTTCTAGGAATAAATTACCTTGGGAATATTTGATTTTGTGATACAGATAAACTCTACATTAATTTTTCCTTAAAATTGATTGATATAGTTTGATACTTGTCTACTGCTTATTTTTTGTGTGGAAATGTGTGCGAGTGTACCAAACACAAGCACTGGACACAAGCTTAGTTTGGCCACATCATTGCCATAGGGTTGTGTGTAAATGACATCATTGCCATGGGGTTGTGTGTAAATGACATTGCCCTGTGGTTGTGTGTAAATGACATTGTCATGGGGTTGTGTGTAAATGACTTCTTTGCCATGTGGTTGTGTGTAAATGACATCATTTCCATGGGGTTGTGTGTAAATGACATCATTGCCATGGGGTTGTGTGTAAATGACACCATTGCCATGGGGTTGTGTGTAAATGACATCATTGCCATGGGGTTGTGTGTAAATGACATCAAAGCCATGGGGTTGTGTGTAAATGACATCATTGCCATGGGGTTGTGTGTAAATGACATCAAAGCCATGGGGTTGTGTGTAAATGACATCATTGCCATGGGGTTGTGTGTAAATGACATCATTGCCATGGGGTTGTGTGTAAATGACATCATTGCCATGGGGTTTGTGTAAATGACATCATTGCCAAGGGGTTTTGTGTAAATGACATCATTGCCATGGTGTTGAGTGTAAATGACATTGCCGTGGGGTTGTGTGTAAATGATATCATTGCCATGGGGTTTGTGTAAATGACATCATTGCCAAGGGGTTTTGTGTAAATAACATCATTGCCATGGGGTTGTGTGTAAATGACATCATTGCCATGTGGTTGTGTGTAAATGACATCATTGCCATGGTGTTGAGTGTAAATGACATTGCCGTGGGGTTGTGTGTAAATGACATCATTGACATGGGGTTGTGTGTAAATGACATTGCCCTGTGGTTGTGTGTAAATGACATCATTGCCATGGGGCTGTGTGTAAATGTCATGCTATATTAGCAACATAGAAGTTACAAAACATTGGGTTTAGCAACATCATTGCCATGGGATTGTGTGTAAATGACACCATGCTATATTAGCAACACAAAAGTTACACAAAAATGCCATATGGTTGTTACATCATGTCACACTATTTAGCAGAAATCCGCACCATTAAAGTCATACATCAATAAATTTTCCTGATGTAATCTTTCCACAGGGACATGTGCTGGTATTGTTGACATTGGCACCACCTGGATGTCCGACCTGAAGGAAGGAATTTGTCTGGAGGCCTTCTGGTTCAACAGGGAGCAGTGTTGCTGGAGTGGACCCAGCCTCAACTCCACCTCCTTGGATGATTACGATGGATGTGATCAGGTCTGTGGCTAGTGAACCATTGCAATATTCATTATTACAAAATATTGTTAGAGGTGTATTGGCAAAGCCTGGTTCTTTAAATAGGTTTAGAAACAAGGTTACTTATATTTTATCAACATCCTTGAAAAACAAATTTAGTTTCTGCTAAAAATAAAAAAAAATAAGTAAGGTATTGTTTCAAGTTATGACTGTCTATAAGAGCAGATTGACTGGAGTGTTTTTAAATTTTATATTACATTTACATCCTTTTGAAATGGTACCTCCCCTTACCCCCATCTTTATGTATCATGGAAAAAGTGATAGTAACTGTACTATAATATTTTTAGCTGATCCAATCTGACAATACATAATATCAATGTGAAACTAATTAGCCTGTATGTGGCTTGTCCTAAAAATAGCATGAGCAACCTACTCATCAGTGTAACTGTAACAATAGAATATATCCTCATAATCCTGTCATGTGGGATTCAGATAAACATGTAACAGGTGGTTTATTATGTGTGAGAATACAGATCCCTTTTTTATCATATAAATTTATGGCTTCCTCTTTAAAATAAAATGTTAATCAAATAGATTGAATACCCAATAGAAAAACTGCAATTAATATTTAATTCTTCCAAAAACATAATTTTAAAGTTCCTTAATTAGTTGTTTTTTTTTAATTGTCAAAAGAAAACTTTAAATATTATTAGATCTTGGGCCTTTGATTAGTTTTTTACCCCACTTGGTTGAAAGGTCCATTTGTACTTGTAATTGTCTGTAAATTTTGATTGTACTAATACTATCCACCATTATTAATACTTCATAAATAGTATTCAAAAAACTATATATTTTTTTGATAAATGTAAATCTTACTCTTATGTAAATTTAAATCAACCTAGGATAACTGTAAATTCTTCTGTATACTTTTTGAAACTCAATTTCGCATTAAAATCATTAGTTCCAAATTTATATATTTTAAGTCATAGACTTTTTAAACTCTTGTACATCCATTTTTGCTCAAATTAACACTTAACCTTACATATAAATAAAGTGTTTTATTCTTTCCCCAGTGGTACTCATGGGGTCGTATACTTGGAGGAGGCGAGACAGGTGCTGGCTCCTACATCATCGGGTACCTGTTCTATATCCTCTGGGCTTTACTGTTTGGGCTGTTGGCAGCACTGCTGGTCAGGATGTTTGCACCCTATGCCTGTGGCTCAGGTCTACCTGAGGTAAGGTATATTGTTTTTATTTAAGGTGGCTGGCACTGATGTAACTAGTGAATTATTTTTATGTTCCATTTCTGTATTTTGTTAGTTTCATAAACAATTATTTTACAGAACACTATATTTTGTTAGTTTCATAAGCAATTATTTTATAGAACACTAACAAATTATTTATTTTTAGCAAGATCTTAGCAGAAAACATTTTTTTAAAATTCATACGCTTTATTTTCTAATTTTCTTTGATAATATATTATAGCAAACAAGCACAGATTATTTTAAACTGCCTTGTAATATCTGATAGTACATTCAACATAATTGTTTGTGGTTTTACATTGTTTTAATATTTTACATCTGCATATGTATTTTTGGCTTTTGAATTACTGCTGTTGTATGCTTAAAAGAGTCCATATGTAGTTTCTGCTGTGAATGTTCACATATTCAAATATTTATTTTAAAATAGACAGGATAATTTGGTAGTAATTTTGTATGTATGACAGTTAAATATGTGGTAGAATTGTTTCTCGTTCCTTATTATGTATCCTGTCAGTTACTGACAAACAGAATAATTTATTTATACTTCAGAACCATTACAGTATATTGCAGTGAAGATAAATGAGGATTATTGAAGCTTTGAAATTTTAATTATTGTAAAAACAGTTATAATCTTCAGGCCAACTGAAATAATTACTTACTGTTACAGTGAAATATTTTGGTTATTATATTTTTCTTCTGTTTAGATTAAAACAATTCTGAGTGGGTTTATTATCCGTGGATACCTGGGCAAGTGGACGTTGCTGATTAAGTCCCTTGGTATGATGTTGTCTGTAGCCGCTGGCCTTAGTCTGGGCTATGAAGGTCCATTTGTCCATGTGGCATGTTGCTGTGGTAATATTTTTGCCTACCTGTTTCCAAAGTATGGTCGCAATGAGGCTAAAAAAAGAGAGGTAAGTTTAACTTTAACCGACTTTTTCCTATTTATGAGTTGTTTTCATTTTAGAATTCTTTTTTTTTTTAAAGTAATTATCCTTGTTTAAAATTGTAAGATCTTACAGAAGAATAGTTACCTACTAAACCTGAGCTTTATCCCTATAAAATATTTTTTATTTAAACATGCTGTTCTATTTATTAATTTATAATCTGCACTGGTGTTGATTCAAAAGTTGATTTGCTCACCAAACATGATTATCTTGCACACTACTCTTGATGGTTTATTGTTTCGTTTTAAAAAAAATAACTTCAGAATTTTATATAATTAAATAATTTTTTAATTTTCTGTGGCATGTATCAGATCCTGTCAGCAGCTGCTGCAGCTGGTGTGAGTGTGGCTTTTGGTGCTCCTATTGGTGGGGTTCTCTTCAGCTTAGAGGAGGTCAGTAACTTGGTCTAAAACATTTTAGGGGAGGTCAATAACTTTGTCTAAAATATTTTAGGGGAGGTCAGTAACTTTGTCTAAAACATTTTAGGGGAAGTCAATAACTTAACTGCAGTTTCAGTTCATAATTTTTAGATGTAGTTTAAAATGAAATTTTACCGAACTAATTTTTCTTTAGTTGTGTACTACAGATTTGTCAATATTAATATTTTGGCTAGTCTGCTACACTTTGTATTTTAATATAAAAATTCAGTCTCTTCAATCATTATTTTCAAAAGCAAAATCTTTTAAATAGTTATACATTATTTAATAAATGAAGCTGGTTAGTAAATACCGTAAATTTTAAATAGTATGTAAAACAAATATGCTGTAGGCTACATAATTAAAATTTATACATTTTTAAAATGTAGGCCTGTTTCATATATTGGTAGTTGGTAGATAAAATTCCTGTTTGTATATTCCAGGTGAGCTACTACTTTCCAATGAAGACACTCTGGAGGTCTTTCTTCTGTGCTCTGATAGCCTCGTTTGTTCTCAGATCCATCAACCCATTTGGTAACGACCACCTGGTGATGTTTTCTATAGATTATAATGAGCCGTGGTCCCTGCAAGAGCTGGTCCCGTTTATTATCATAGGCGCTTTAGGGGTGAGTTGGTTGTTGTTTTACATTAAATAAATGAAATTAGTGGAAATTTACAAAATAAATAAAACAGCTGTTTATAATTAGGTAAAAAATTAAAACTTTTTTAGAAAAATAAATTTAGTTATGGTAGTCTCAATATGAACACAAACGTATTTAACTCTAAAAGTCTGTTCTTTATTTGAAAACTCATGTCAGTTTTTTACCTGGGTTGCCATGGTGGGAATGTATTATAACTGGAAAGACTTTTATAAGGAACAAGTTTTAAACAAATATATTTTGCATTTGGTTTTAAATTTCATATATCACTGTTTATTAAAAAATCATCATTGATACTTATTTTATATTTTATTTTACTTCAAAAATTCAAAATCAATTTGGATCTTCATATTTTATCTTAAAATGTTTAAAGGTTTTATGTTATATAAACTTTAATATTTTCTAATATAAATTGTAAAAAAAAATATATAAATATATATTTGTCATTATCCACCAATTCAAAATACCTATTTTTCTCCATTTTCAGGGTTGTTTTGGTAAATTCTTTATTAAATTCAACATTATGTGGTGCAGATATAGGAAAACCTCAAGACTTGGGAACTACCCAATCTTTGAGGTGAGTTGATGTGAAACGTCTGCTATTTTGTTAACTATGTGTAATCTTTTTTATGGTTAGTCATGTGATATTGTTTGTAGTCCATATAAATTACTTTACCTGTTGTTGGCTGTTTTCATATTTAAGATCATCTAAATGAAACCTAGAGTTTTAAGTTGTTATAAGAAAGAACACTAGTGAAATAGCATAGTGTGCTGATATTAAGAAAGTTTTAGAGCCATGCTAATTTATGTTTAGTTTATACCAACGATATTAGAAGCCCTTATATAAGTATAATTTCCTGTATGCTGTGTTTATCAAAGCCCTGCTGAAATAGTTTCCTTTAATTGTTCAACTATTCAACATTTTTATCTTTACCTGTATATGCCCAAAAAACATGAGACAGATGAAGTAGAGTTTATCTATTTCAATGAACTAAGCATACAAGGGGGTAGTGTGGTCAGGTTTCCATCAGAGTTGGGTGGGCTCAGGGACATTTTACATCGAACCAATGATTACAATAATTAATTTAATTTAATGTTGTTTCTATCTAGGTCCTGGGTATTGTGTTCATCACTGCCCTGTTGAGCTACCCCAACCCTTACACACGCATGAACTCCAGTGAGATGATTCGACTGCTGGTCAGTCGCTGCGGACCAGAGGATGATATAGAGTTATGGTATGACGGTCTTGTTCTCCTAAATATCCTTATTAAGTATTTTATTCTACAGTGGGTGTTGTAGAGTTTTGGTATGTTTGTTTTTTCTGAATATCAATTGTATCTGGAAGTAAAGTATTCTTTTCTATTGAGGGAGATAAAGAGTTATGGTAAGACTTAGTTGTTTTCTTTAATATAGTTAGGGTATGACTGTTGCTTTCCAATATCAATTATATTTGGAAGGATAATATAAAGTTATGGTATGATATTGTTGTACAAAGTATCAGTTATCTGAAAGTACAAAGTTTGATCTCATTAAGAGGTTTTCTTCTTAGCACCATCTTCAGCACCAAAAAAATCTGTTTAGGTTGTTAAGATTCATAACATGACAGCTGTTATACCTACTGAAGATTAAGCATGTGTCCAGATTTAAACAGCAATCTTTAAATAGAAATAGAAATAAAAATTCTGGTTTGAAGATATTGGTTAAGAAGACTATCCAGTCAGTTAGGTTTTATTAATTTAAATTATCATGGCTTTAATTCAATTAATATATCCTGGTGTTTTCATTTCCTTTGTTTCATAATTATACCAGTGATTAACTTATTGATTATGCCTGGTGATGAGTTAAAACATTATGCTCTTAATTTGTTTCAGTGACTATGCCCGTAACTTGAATCAGACAGACACATACAAATGGTCAGCTCTGGCCTCCAGTGGTGTTGGCAGTGCTGTGTGGAAGCTGAGCTTAGCACTGGTCTTCAAAATGATCATCACTGTTTTTACTATTGGTATTAAAGTAAGCTTGCCAACTTTTACATTTTTAAGTACGTATTATGTACATAAAAAGAGTAAAGTTTCCCTTTCAGACCTAAAGATCCAAGGAGCAGATGAAGTGTTTAATATTTCTTAACATTGGTATTTGAAAGGATGGTGTAGTCAGCAGTGTGCCTGCTGTTTTTACTTTCCCATGAGAGTTGTGTGGACTCAGGGACGTCATACAATCCTAGTCCAGATCGAGATCCAATACTCGAGATCTTCGGGCTAGAAGTTGAACATTTTACCTCTTGACCATACAGTCCCTCCATTTTATTACATAAGATTTTTATATTTGTTTACTGTGAGCCATTGTAAAACATACAGATTAATTTTACTAGCGACAATGTAGTAGCTGTTTCACACACACTTTGTTTACAGTTATGGTTATATTTTATTTACTGTGCAGTACTTTGCAGATTAGCTAGCACTGTTCATTTTTTGTTTGAACATAGCATACCCCCGTTAGAATAATGATAGCAAATTGTCTAGCTGATTGTAGGATTTCCATTGAGAATAATGATAGCAAACTGTATAGCTGATTGTAGGATTACCATTGAGAATAATAATAGCAAACTGTATAGCTGATTGTAGGATTACCATTGAACTAGACATGCAGCAGCATTAGACATACTCAGTGGTATAAGAACAGTGGGTGTGGGAGCATCAAAGTCTCAGCTGTTTCACCTTAAGCTACAGCTTTTGTTGCACACATACCTGTCACTTTCAGTTTTTAAAATTTAGAAAGAAAAACAAGTTTACATTCACAGAATCAAATGGTAGAACTCACAAATGCTAACCCAAAAGTCTTGAGTTCAGACCCGTTCTCAAGTCTGTATGCTCTGATCGGTACCTGACACATTAGGCAAAGTAAAGTCCTCTGGCATATCCCTTCATATGCCAAGGTCTTAGAAGCAAATAACCTCTACTTCACCTGCCAGGTTTGAAAGGGTACTTTACTTTTTCTTTACATTAAATAAACACCATTCTATTATAAAATATTACATTATTTTTAAAACTGCTCCTCCAGATCCCAGCTGGTATGTTTATTCCCAGTATGGCTATTGGCTCCATCATTGGGAGAATCATTGGTGTTGGTATGGAACAGCTGGTTGTGTAAGTAAAACTTTAATAGCCTATTAAAAGCACCATATGGTAAATGAATTGTTGATTGAATGCACTCCACTGAACATGTTAAGACTTTACTGAGCACATTCCCTTGTAAACTATTTGTAATCATAGTGTAAAGTAAAGTAAAATACTTTAAATTATTTATCCCATTGTAAATTATTTATCCCATTAAAAATTATTTATCCCATTGTAAATTATTTATGCCATTGTAAATTATTTATCCCATTGTAAATTATTTATCCCATCCAAGAATATCCATTTTATCTTAGTATCACTAAGTAGATTTTATATTTAAGCATATTATCCTAGTGTAGCTTTTAATCTAAGCAGCTTATCTTATTGTAACTCATAATATCATCTTATGCAGTATATAGTATGCTCAAATGTAGTTAGATTCTAATATGTTGTTATTTAGCCCTATCATTTTGCAAAATTATTTTGAATGGTGATAGTAAATTAACATAAGTATACATTGTAAAAAGACATATATTGTTCTGTTTTCTAGATTTCTTCATTTTCTTTTTAGTCTAACAGCTATTTTCTAACTTAATGTTCTGTAAAGACAGAAGTGCTTATAATTTTATAATGGCCTTTACTGACAAAGCTGTTATAATATTACTTTGTTTAAATACAAGGCTACAATAAATTATAGTAACAAATTCATTAAGTTTTCTGAATTATATAAAAAAATTCATTAATTCTTGATCAAATACAATTTTTTTTAAAATGCTTAATATGTAGCTTATAGCTGACATCAGTTTTGACACTTAGTGTTTATTTAATATTGGCTTCATCCCTTTTACTCTGTTTAATGTCTTTCCTTCTTTATTTTAATCCCCTTACCCCTTTACCTGCTACAGTCACAATGCAGGAAGTGTCTTCTTCTCTAACATCTGCTCCTCACCTGACAAGTGCATCATCACACCTGGACTGTATGCCATGGTGGGGGCTGCTGCTGCCCTGGGTGGTGTCACACGTATGACAGGTAACTTTTGTTGTCTGTTTTATTAGTCTTTTCTAGCATTAAAGGACAGATAATATCATAAGCCTTAATTTTTTCATGAAAGGTAAATTATGTGCTCATTTTTCATTTAAGTAAAACAAAGAGTTTTGTACTAGAATGAGAAGATGTAAAAAAAATATCTGGGCAAAGTTGATGTAAAGTGAATTAACATGTTTTTGCATAGAATAGACCTTCAAAAGTAAAAGTTATCATAAATAAGATGTGGGTTCTGGGTCAAATTAGGTGGTTTTTAGACTATAGAATAAACAACTTTAATGCTGATGGAGTTGAATTATTTTCTGTCTGTTTTTCCAGTCTCTCTAGTGGTCATCATGTTTGAGCTGACCGGTGGTCTGGAGTACATTGTCCCTATGATGGCTGCAGCAATGACCAGCAAGTGGGTTGGTGATGCCCTGGGGAGGGAGAGTATGTATCCTTTTCCTTGAATGTCATCAGATCTCTTCTGCTAGTTAAATTATTTATAGTGAACACATTTTTAATGGAATATAATTTTTAGTGTTTATGTCGTCATTTTAAAATTATTTTTTAATTAAATTAGTTGTGCAGACCCTGCTATGTAAGCTAAGAATAATTGTCCTAGTAACAAAACAAAATAAAAAACTGAAATGATTTACAATTATTAATGTGCATTTATATTGACAAATGTATACCACTGTATTCTTTTTAATTTAAATTGGGATGATTGCAAATTCACTGGGACATGTGCAGACCACTCAACCTTTTTATAAGCCATGTCATAGAAACAAATCAACTCAACACTTTCTGCTGTGTTTTGTTCAATAATATATTTTTGACTTGATTAAAATTTAATACTGTAATAGTATCTAAATAAAAATGTTCTCTATGTTGGCTATAACATGGGATTTATCAGCTGAAAGCATGGGTAAGCAGTCCTTACGTTTAGTTTCTTTAACAAAGACTTAGCTACGATGCACATATAGCACTCAATGGCTACCCGTATCTGGACCACAAAGAGGAGTTCACCCATACAACAATAGCAGCTGATGTCATGAGACCACGGTAAGATTTATTTTTATTGTGTTCAACTTCGGCAATTTTTTTTATTGTTTTTGATTGCTCTGATATGTTTAATTAAAACTTTTTCTGTTCTTTGTTCTTATTGTAGTGTTGGGTGGGATTTCCTTCAACACAATTAAGTATTATGTGTCAACCTTTTTTGCCCCATATAGACAGTCGATTCCAATTTCTACTTGCTTTTTTTTTTCTGGATTTTCTTCCATAGCCTTTGTCCATTAAAGAACAAAGCACAAAGCTGCATTTGTTTGATTTTGGAGTTTTCTCCCCCCAATTGATTTTTTGTCCCCAGGGGGTTCTACCTCAGGCTTTTTGATTTAGCAGCCCTGAGCTTTACTGACCCACTATACCAACCCCACCTTTTTAACAAACTTTAGATATTTTTCTTGTGTTGTTTTAAAGCAACATTTTAAAAAAAAAAACCTTGTTTTTATCAAAGTGTTTTTAATCCCTGCAACTCAAAGCAAGTTAATCTTTTACAATATGCTTATTGGGGTTATCTCCCCTATCCCATACGCATGTAATAATAAAAATATATTTAGAATTGATTACACTTGAATATGCTTTAAAATCGAGTGAGGAGTCAATCAATCCTAATTATTTAGAACAAACATTCACAATTTTATAAATATGCATTTCTGTTATCTACCTTGTTAAATATATTATCTAAATACTACATATTTTCTTTATCTTCAGCTTAAGTTTCAGGTTTGCATTCTGAAGTCAGCAAATATTTTATGTTCAATGTTTTTCTTGTTCCTTAAAATGTAGTTACATTCTCCCCTCAATTGCTTTTACTTTAATTCACTTGACACCCTATTTAGTTTAAAGTAGAATTATACAGCCACTGTATAAACCTATTGCATTACACACAAGTGTTAAATAGAGATAACATGTTGGAATTGAAGGGACCTGAGTGGTAGAACCCACACTATGGCCGCTCAGTAAAATGTTCTGGAGTCAACCCAGCACTGACTCTAGTTAGGGAAAGTAAAGGAAAGAGCACTTAAGGCTAAACTTCACAATTGCTTCTTATTCAGAGATCATTTAAATAAAGTGTTGGTTATATTTATGCACAAACTAACTTTATAAATTATTGGATTATTAATTATATATGATTATATGTACAAGTGTTTAAATGGTTTTACTTTTATTTAAACACACAATATTTACAGTCACAGTGTTTTACTTGTTAGAGCCACCCATTGATGTATAATATACTCTTCATGTATTATACTTGTTTTGTATACACTTTTATATTTTTTTTTAAAAAACAACATACTACTGGAATCACCTGTGTCAAATCTCATATGACAATAACAGCAATACTAAGAAACTTCTAAACTAGATGTTTGTATTGTATTTAGTTACAGAGCTTGGCTGGACAGTTTGTCTTGGACTACACTAGATTCTCTTAAATTTATTGGGGGGGGGGGGGGGGGGATCAAAATAAATTGTAAAAAAAAAAAAAAAAGCAGTCACACCAGTCATTATTTTCCATAGAAAATATCACAACATAATAGACAAGCTGTTTTAGAATGCATTGTCTGCCAATGGAAAGTTCTATTTCAGCAGTAGCTCATGTGTATTGTTGCAGAGTTACATCCCTTCACACCACATCATGCTTTGTTGTTGTGTTTAGAGCTGTTTTGTTGGGATAGTTTTACATTCTGTTTCTTGTGTGTACAGTCACCCTCTGTGCTTTGTAATGTATAGCAAAACTTTCTAGGGAGCTTATTTTTTAAAAAAAACTCGCCTTTATCTTGTCATTTTTAATAAATAAGCAGTTGTTTTTTTTTGTACCTACATTTGTTAAAAAATTTAAAATTGTCTAAAGCTGTTCAAAATTTTCCATTTAATCAAAAATCAAAAGCTTATTAAAATTTTAATATTTATCTTAAGTATAAAAAATTGTAATCTTTATGCATTGGTGTTTCCAATATTATTCATATAATTATTTATTGAATCATTTTTTAAATTGCTACCTTTAACCTATTTCTAGCAGTTCAATTTAATTAGCAAATAGTATCCATTACATTTTTTACAAACAAAAGTTATAAAAAACATTTCATTATTCCTTTCCAACAGACGTAATGATCCCCCTTTAGCTGTGATAACCCAAGACTCAATGACAGTTGATGAGACAGGTATGGTTGTTTATAAATTCAGGTAAAACTTGAAATCAGAGAACAGCAGTTGATGAGAGACAAAAACATGTTATTATTACTGTTAAATAGATAATATTTTAATGATTTCAACTGATTTTTTCAATTATAGCCTTTTTAAAGGTAGAATTAATCCTAATCTTCATTTTTTTTATGTTTTCATGTACCTAGTTAATCATACATATTTTAAAACTCTTTTTAAAAAAGGTATAACCTATAATTGCTTCACACTTTTTATTTTATTAGTATAAAATGTTATTTTTTCTTTAGCAAGTAGGTGAAGTCTTTTCTTGATTTCTCACTTTGTGTTTAATTTTTCCAGAAAGTTTGCTGCGCCATACAGAGCATAATGGCTTCCCTGTGGTGGTGTCGCAAGAGTCTCAGTACCTTGTTGGCTTTGTGTTGAGGAGAGATCTTAATTTAGCCATTGGTCAGTCTAGTTGTAGCATTTTTTAGATATTGGTCATTCTAGTCATAGTACCTTTAGCCATTGGTCATTCTAGTCATAGTACCCTTTAGCCATTGGTCAGTTTGGTTGTATTTTTTAACCATTGTTTGCTGTATATGCAAATCTATAGAGCTATATACAGATAAAAAGATGTTTTCAATTAAAGCTATTTTTAATCAATTATGGTAATGGAACTACAACTAGATTTAATAGTTCTAATAGTTAATACTAAGCTGTGTTAGCTGGTATTTATTGTTAGCATAGTATGCTAAAAAGGGGACGACGTGGCCCAGTGGGAGAGTGCTAGAGTTCAAATCTGGGTTTAAATTAGTCAAACGTCCCTGATTCCACCCAGCTCTGATGAGCACCTAACTTACATTAGGGAAACAAAGGTGGCTGGGCATAGTGCTGACCACATTATCCCAGTATATACCGAGGTCATTGAAGAAGATTAACTCTACTTCATCTGCCCCATGTGTATTAGGCATGCTAAAGACTAAAAAATTTTATCTGCTTTATCTTTAGTAAGATTTTATTAAACCTTTACTATTCTATGCGCCTTTAATTTTTCTAATGTGATTATTGGATGTGCTATGTATAGGTGCTTTAATTTTTTCATAGTAACTGAAACCTTGCTAATGTTAATGTTTTCAAGAAAATAAAAATAAGACTTTATGGGTCAAAAATGTGCCTCTATTCAATTCAGCTTTTAAAAAATATGTTTTAATGCCGGGACAGTAAAAGGTTAGTTAAGATCTAATTATACAACTTAATGCATACTTTACTTTGATAATTTATTTTCTCAGCTAATGCCAGGAAAACTTCAGAAGGGATAGTCAGCAACTCTGTCATCTACTTCACCAGCCATGTCCCCATGAACCCCAATGGTCCAGCCCCTCTGAAGCTGAGGAAAATACTCGACTTGGTCAGTATATCCTAATAGACTAATTAATATACAATTGACAAGTACAGTTGGTTGTTTACATTTTAAAATTCTTTTTACATTTGAGATAAAATTTCTATAAAATAAATTTCTTTAAATTTCAAATGTCATGATTGTTCTATAAAATGGCACAGTGTTTGTTCACTACTCAGAATGTCCTGCTACTAAACATCTTGTTTTGTCTGCATCACATTGTCCTGTTTTAGAATATTGCTCATAGAAATATCCTACATCATAACTCAAAATTGATTCCTGTGAGAGAAAAAATATTTCTCTCCTTTTTTATATATTTTTTTTAAATTTTGCAGGCCCCTGTGACCATCACAGATCAGACTCCTATGGAGACTGTTGTAGAGATGTTCAGAAAGTTGGGAGTGAGGCAAACACTGGTCACACACAATGGGTGAGTGAACATTTTTAGTGCAATTTATGTCACACACAGTGAACATTTTTTTGTGTGAATTATGTCACACACAGGGAACAAGTTTTAGTGTGAATTATCTCACACACTGGTAACATTTTTAGTGTGAATTATGTCACACACAATGGGTGAGTGAACAATTTAAGTTTGAGTTACGTGGCTCACAATGGGTAAATGAATGAACAATTTTAATGTGAACTATGTCCCATCATTTGACCATTATTCCATTGCTTCTATCTAACCTGTGTTTTGTGTACCAGTCGTCTCCTGGGTATCATCACCAAGAAAGATGTCCTGAGACATATAGCCCAGCTGAGGAACCAGGACCCAGAGTCTATACTTTTCAACTAAATTCTGCAAGACCCAGTCTATACTTTTCAACTAAATTCTGCAAGACCCAGTCTATACTTTTCAACTAAATTCTGCAAGACCCAGTCTATACTTTTCAACTAAATTCTGCAAGACCCAGTCTATACTTTTCAACTAAATTCTGCAAGACCCAGTCTATACTTTTCAACTAAATTCTGCAAGACCCAGTCTATACTTTTCAACTAAATTCTGCAAGACCCAGTCTAAACTTTTCAACTAAATTCTGCAAGACCCAGTCTATACTTTTCAACTAAATCCTGCAAGACCCAGTGTCTATACTTTTCATCTAATTTTTTCTAATAAGAATCTGGCCATTAAGGCAGTGCTTATTGTACAGGCATACCAAGGTTGTAGCTGGTATTATGTACAGAGTTTCTCCACATATTTTATGTTGTATAGTGTATAGCATTACTTTGTTGTTCTGAGGATTCCCATTTTGCTTTGTTATAGTAAGTGTAATTCAAGTCAGTACAACAGTTTTGTTGTCTGAACATAATATTTATTTAAAGTCAGTTTTAAAAAAATACGCTACTCACTATATCAAGCTTATTTTGGGTTTCAGATTTTTTGTACTGTAAATTTTTAAAAATATTCTATGTAATGAGATTAAAAAGTAATTAATATTTTAAAGTAAATCAAAACAAATTTATTCGAAACAAACTAATCGGTACATAGAAATGCATAATGAAACTCTAAAATATAGTAATAGAGGTAACTTTTTAAATTGTGATCTATTAATATGTAGAGAGAAAGAGACACATTTTAATTATAAAAAAAATATTTGATAACTTAAAAGTAACAGCTTAATAAAGAACAAAAACTTTATTTATTAAAAGGAAATTACAATTTTGAAACAAGAGTATTTAGATATGTAAAAAAAGTACCCATTTTAAAAAAAAATACACAGCATTTAAATTCAATATATAGGAAGTTGCTAGATTGGAAAAAAAAAAACAGCATTGAAGTTGCCAGATAGAGGAAAAAAATTCTTAATAGGAACGTTTTCCCTGGTGGGATTTAGACAGCTGAAGGCTGTTACACGACCCAAAACATTTATATTTAAAATTTGGTGTTTTGTTACACATAAGATATATTGCTTGAAATCCTTGTAGTATTAAAACTTAAAAATAAAACAGAATGGTGGAATGGAAAAGTTTAACAATATATAGTCTTTTGTTTTACAAAAATTATGTTCTAGTATTTTTCTGGCTGTTATGATTATTTGCATGAGTGACAGTGTGCAATTGTTATCAAAATAAGGATGGCTACAAGCAAAACTTTATTGTAATTATATAAGAAATTTTACTCAAATATTTCATTCACGGTTGTTAGAGTAAATTATTGTACAAGTTTTTCCTTAACCTTAAAACAATTTTATTTTAATCATACACATTGCTTGTAACTTTTATGGTGGTTTTTTTTTTTTGGTTGGAATTTTTTGATTGGAAGATTTACTGCCAACCAAAACCTACATGTTTATTAAATTAATCCTTGATTTCTCTACTAACAAAACACACAAGCTGAACATCATACACATTCCATCACTATTTCATGGCTTTCCATCAGTTTATTTGTATAGTTACCTCTCAGAAAACTTACAAAAACCCAGTTTAGTTTAATATAATATATTTGATTACCCCTCTCCATTTCTAAACAAGACTGCAGTGATCTTTAAGGGGAAAACACCTTCCATTTCCTACTGACTTTTTGATTTTTGTTAGTTATCTTCCCATGACCACAATGACATTTACAATCCACTATCATTTACATGTTTCTACAAATGATATTTGGTTGCATTCTGTGTAACACTTTAATGGATCTCTGGACATTGTGTTTGTGAATGTACATATTCATTGGATCATGCTGTAGGCTGTTGTCATGAAGTAGTATTTAAGTGAGGTATGATTTTCATGAATTCAGGGTTTTGTTTTCATAAAGTAATTTTCCAAGCTACTTTTTGTTTTAGCTAAGTAATAATTCAAGCTCAGTTATATTAGTATTAATAAATTAAAGATATATCTCACAAATTCAGATTTCATTGCAGAGATTTAACCATTTTTTACACAAAAAAAATTCTGTTTAAAGTTTTGATGAGCAAAATTTTGTATTTACAATTAATATTTCCTTGAAATTTAAAATTTCTGTCTGCAAAAAAACAAAAAAAAATACCTTTGATGTGTTGTAAAAAAAAAAATTACATGAAAAAAATTAACCTTGATTTTTTTTTTTTGTGGTCATTGATAATTTTTTTTATCAAGTCATAATACATACTACTGGTAGTTTGCTCATGTTTTAGGGCCATTCACAAAATCCATAATTGCTATTCAATACTTGTTTACTTACTACATCCATACATTCAGCATTTCTGTACGTGTTTTATTTTATACAGCTTTTGACATACAGTGTGTCCTGCTACAAATTTCTCTTGGGTTAATTTATGTGCAGGGTGACAAGTTTTTCCTCATGCTTATATTGCCTCTATCTGGTAATTATTGTTTCATTTTAGACATTGATACTGTCAGAATTATTTATCTTTCTACTGAATTTACGATTTAAAATAACATTTCAAGCTCTTTTTTTTAAAGTTTATATTATTACAAAAACTACCCACTATTTTTTGGTTCCAGGGTTCTAGATTTGAAGAATAACTTTTCCGATTTCTATATTATCAAAGTCACAATTTTCAATAAATATTTCTCAAATTTACAGTTTAAGAAAAAATAATATTCACTGCTGTGGAAATGTTGTAAATCTAGAAAAATATTTGTTTAGACCATGGCATAAATGTTTTACTGAAGATGGAAATTTTGTCAATCTAGAAAAATATTTGTTTAGACCATAACATAAATGTTCTAATTAAGATAACCACTATGAGATGTGTTGAAGGGTGGGCTTGTACAACTGCTTCAAACATAAGCTGCTTCTATTTTTTGTGCATTTTGTCTTATCTTTGTCTACTGTAGTGTTTTGTAGGCAATAGAGAATCTTTCTTTGATGGTGATTGTATGAAGAGAAGGCTGATAGGCTTACCAAATGCAGTGAAATCATAAGAAAATATGTGATGTGTGATCATTGGAAATATGTGATGAGTGATTAACGGAAGGTAATATGGAAATATTTGAAGAGTGATTGGATGAAATATGTGAAGTGTGACAATTTGAAATATGTGATGTCTGACATGAAATATGAAGCGTGATCATATACTGATTTATGGCAGATCAAATGCTATTTACTAAATTATGTGTGACATACACTATGTGATGCTGTTTTATTATGTACTCACTATACGGGATATATTAAAGATGTTTTTTTTTTAATCTAACCTAAATCATACTCATCATTTCATTGATAAACCATGCTTTATAAAACATGCTTGTCAAATGTATTTTGTTTTGAAATAAATGTATAAACATGCTAACACAAATATACTACAGTTGGTATCATTGTCACTTTTAATCATTTCTCATAAACAGATTTACTGTTTAATTTCAAGATCACGTTGAATTTTAATTCAACTGACAATACAAAATTATGCACAAGTCTGTTGCTTGATATGTATATTTGTCATTGATTAAAATTGGTTGTGTCATATTTAGTTGTTTGTATGGACAGTTTGACCTCAGGTGGGATCACAATTTCCATGGGAAAACGGCACGTTATAAATACATTGGTTAAAGGGAGACTTAAGTATAGCGGCTCAGGATTTTCTACATAAAGGTTAATGTAGTAGACAAGCACACAAAAATAATTAGAAAACACTTGAAAACAGCAAAAAATGGGAGGCTACTCTTGCTTAGGATGTGTACATTCCAAATTAGTTTCCCCTTTAATTAGACTCTAAAAATGATTGTAGTTGGAACTGGTAACCTCCGTCGAAGATGTGGGTTGATTTTTTTTTAATTAGTATCACCCTTTTGACGTAAACCTAACAGCGATACAGCCTGTATACTATGAATACAATACTGATTTATCACATGCGTGTTTTTACAAGAAATTGATAAAAACTAATACATCTCCACAAATGTAATAAGTGAAAAAAACAACAAAATCTACATCTACAATAATATAAATTAGGCTTCTAATACTGTTGTCATGTCATATTTTGGGTATGTTTTCTGTAACTGTAACACTTCTTTGACAAAAAAAAATTCGTTGAGGTTCATTTGTGCTACAAACTAAATAATTTAATTGCTAGTAAAAGATTAACGCGCCATCTGTTGTTTCTGAAGTCGGCACTTCTATGTAAATTCTATTTCGTGAGAGGGGGGGGGGGTAGACGTTTTATATTGCAAGAGATCCCTGAAAGAAACTCTGGATGACAAGGGTGTTTGAACTCAAAAATGATAAAAAAACGTAATTGTAATAAAGAAACCTGTGGTGTCTCTGTCTCTTGGTGGGGGGAAACACGGTGCGGTAATTGGGACAGTTTCCCTTATATAAGGTCCCTCGCCTCTCCTCCCCCCCCCCCCCCCCCGAAAAGATGCATGGAAGAAACACTTTCCTTTTTCTGTTGTCAGTCTGTTGGCATTCTGTCTGTCGTCATAGATCGAAACGGGCGAGCGAAATTTCGGGCACTTCTGACAGATTCGTTACGTGGGTCAAGATTTGAAGACAGTGCAATATGACATCAAATTATACTTAATTGGTTGCCTAAGATGATTAAACAACCGCCTATAATTACAAAGTTTAATTAAGTGATGCTTATTTTGGTCAGACAGCTAACGTGTGAAGAAGGCTGGTATTAAGCGAGCTAATCATTCGGTCAGCAGTCGGTCTCATTAAACGGCAGGGGCGCAAGATTCAGTGCTGATGAGCAGCTCTTTCACAACACCAGAGGCGTAGCGAGGGGGGGGGGGGACATATGTCCCCGGGCGCCGACCTTAGGGGACGCCAAAATGGGTTGGAAAATAAATTGAAAGCTTGAGGGAGGTGCAAATAGAAAAGTTGAGGGGGGTGCAAATCGAAAGTTTGTCCCCGGGCGCCGGGAAGGGTCGCTACGCCTCTACCCAACAGCAGCCTTATATTTTTCCATTACACGTAGTTTACACCAATCCCGAAGCCCCGATAAACTGCTGAAAGATAATGTACAGTGGCGTAGGCAGGGGGGGGTCATATAAATATATATATAGTATGAGGGGGGGGGGGGGTTCAAATCGAAAGTTTGAGGGGGGTTCAAATCAAAAGTCTGAGTGGGGGGTTGCAAATCGAAAGTTTGATGGGGGGGGGGGTTCAAATCGAAAGTTTGAGGGGGTGCAAATCAAAAGTCTGAGAGGGGGAGTGGTGCAAATCGAAAGTTTGTCCCCGGGTAAAAATTGGACCCCCCCCCCCCTTGAGACGATCCTGGCTACGCCACTGATAATGTAAATTTGGAATTAAAATAATTAAAGGCCAATGTTAAAATACACAAGCACAAACAATAGACTTGAAAAGACTGTAATCATACTACATTTTTTTAATCAAAGAAAGATATGGCAAGAAATAAAATTATAGTTACTTTAAAAAAAAAATTAAAGCCGCTTGGAAACCATTGATCACACTCAATTTCATATTTTTGTGTTGATTTTAAGCCGCTGAAAAGCCGTTTAGATATATTGTTTTTTTACTTTCTCGTATATACAAAGTATAGAGAAAGTCCTGTAATCGTGCAAAAAAACGCGATTTTTGCAAATCTCGACGTTTTACACCGATTTCCAATAACCGGAAGTGGTACTTATTCTACTTTGAATTTTTCAAAAGCCTAAAACTTGAGTACTATTTCAGATAGATAAATGAAATTTCACATGTAAGTAAAAGTTTTAATTCTCTGCCTCTTTTTCAAATTTTGAGTAATTTACGCTATTTCCGATTTCTCAAAAAAAAAAAAAAACGCATGTGAATTTGTAAAGTACTAATAATATCCCGCACTATTATGCACATTTTATGTGGCGTTCACTTGATGTGAAACTCTTTTTTTTCGAGATTCTATTCTATTATAAAAAGTTTAAGTAATTAAAAATGGAATAAAAATATTGTCTATGTCCCCAGTTGCCATCCCCCGTAGTGTTATAATAGAATATTCGAGAAAGTTTAGGGGAGATCACTCCCGGTTTTTTAAATTTTAAATTAAGAAACAGGTTGCGGACATTTTTTTTTTCCAGTGATAAAATACACAAAAGCGGACAATGTGGTATATGGCCTAATAGTCAGGGGCGGAACTACCATACCGCCAGACCCCGCAATGCGGGGGGCCCAGGACGTTTAGGGGCCCAGTTCCGACCAAAAAACAATGAATTTTTTTTTTCAAAAATTATGTTTTTCATGCATTTTGAAAGTGGTTTTGTAAAAAAAAAAAACAGGTCTACTATAGCAGAGATTGTTGCGTAGAAAAATATTTTAAAATCTACAAGAGCTATAGTTTGAAAGGTAGGTAAACATTCACACTACTTCCATGACTTACTGCCCTTCTTTAAAATAGGGATGCTCACGAAGCTCATTTAAATAGTTTTGTACTATGTATATTAAAAAGCAATTATTCTCTGAATTGTTACTTAAATAAGACGTAATTTACAATAGTATAGCTATAAAAATCAATGTTTTCAAAATTGATATTATAAAAGCCAAAAATGAAAAAATAAACATAACGCGAGAAACCATTCACAAATCAAGCTAACGTCTTTATATATTTTTGACCAGCATGTATTTGATGAGTTTTTCGCTCAAAATGAGTTTGGATTAAATATTTTCTGGTTTGTACTCTCAGAATGGTTATATATTGCAATAATTGCTCAGGATATAGATTATATATATATATATATATATATATATATATATATATATATATATATATATATATATATATATATATATATATATATATATATCTAACTAGCCGTCCCGGCCAGGCCCTGCTCTGGCTTCTGTGAAAAACCTTTCTGTTAAAGACCATTACCTGTGTGTTTAGTAATCATCATAAACCCGGCATTGCACACCCAAACCAAAACCAAAACAACAAAACGCAAACATAACGCTAACACAATTACAAATACAAACGAAAACAAAAACCTAACAACTAACCCAACCACAACCACAAACACCAATACGAACACAAAGAAAAAAACAAACGAAAAAGCAAACGAAAACAAACCAAATCCAAATGCAAAACCAACCACAAACCCAAAGAAAAAAACACAAACGAAAAAACAAACGAAAACAAACCTAATACAAACGCAAAACCAACCACAAACACAAATACAAACACAAACGCAAAGAAAATAAAACACAAACGAAAACGAAAAAAGAAAGAACAAAAACGAACCAAATCAAAACGCAACCACTAACGCAAACCCAACCTAAACACAAAGAAAACACTAACGCGAACATAAACGCACAGTGCTCAGAGTCTAGCCCGGGGCGGAATCGCCTGTTTCAGCTTAATAAACGACTATAGTACCCCAACTTATTCATAGTCTTTTGCACTCACTTTAATGAACGTAGGCGCGAAACCGAACACGGGAGGCCCGGGACCCCAAATAGCACCCTGTCTGGGCGCCAGAGGACGCACCATGACGTCACCGCCTGATTGAACTTAGTAAACGACTATAGTACATAACTTATTCATAGTCTTTTGAACTCACGCGAACGTATATACCATAGCGTACACCGGAAGGCCCGGGGCGCCAAATAGCACCCTGTCGGGGTGACGGAGGACGCCCGGATTTGATTCACTTAAAGACTATAGTAACCTTTCTTACCCATAGTCTATCGCACTGTTAAAAACAAAACTATGCAGCATAGCGCTCACATGATAGCCCAGGGTGCCAAATCGAACCATGCAAGGGCGCCGGCCGACGCGCCTGTTTCAATTTAGTGAACAAAAATGATAATACTCCAAGCTTATCCGTAAATGGAAAGAAATAAACATATAGGATTTGTAGGACCTGGCTTATTAAATGTTATTGATTTTAAAAAAAATATTGAACAGTAGGTTCAGTGTATAGAATAAATAAAAGGCAGTGTTAAAAATACCTAACGACATTGCACTTAATCAATCCCCGCTAATTATGTAATTATTTTTTTTTTCTTAACACCAAAAACAAAGTAATAAAATGTAAATTCTTTCTTGTTAAGAATTTTTTTATTAAAGGGAAGTAACTGTGCAGTCAATACATTTCCGACACAATTTTAGAAATTTTATAAACGTCGATACACTTTTAAAAAATTTTATGTCGTGTTCATAACTGAAAATTATTCTTCTAAGTAAATAGAATGAAAATTGTTTTTAAAGACTTTCAATGGTAATTTTTTGACTCGTAAATTTAGACTATGAGCACGATAAAAAATCTAACACTTAAATCCATAGAACTGTCAACGACAAACTTTTTTGCCACACGTTACAGAACTGAGCTTTATATATTAGATATAAAGCTCAATTCTGTAACGCACATGTTTGTCGTTGGCATTTCTACGGATTTAAGTGTTAGATCAATTATCGTGCGCAGTTGTCTAAATTTATGCGTTAAAAAATTACTATTAAAAGTGTTGGGAAATCATTTTCATTTTTCAAATTATAGTAATAATTGTCGGCATGTTCATTAAACACAAGTTTTAAAA